ATGGTTATGTCAAAGGGATATGGGAGCCAAATGAAAGAGCTCCTAATGGCCAAAGCTGGAACAATTTGAGCGATAAAATAAATAAAGTAGTATTGTATTGTTACCCTAAGTATAAAATAAATATTCATGAGTCCATATTGACATAAATAAGTTATTGAATAAAGTAATAAATTGGGTAGTTTAGATATATCTCCCATCCAGAGGAACTGCAAATAATTGATGGTAGATGTTGTGTTTGTCAGAGGGTGGAACACATTTCCCACTCCTTAACTGTGGGCTGTGCATAGTGACTTTCTTCCAAGGAGCACAGTATGAAAAGAGCGAGGAGGTTTTCCAAGGAGTAACTTTACAGGAGAGAAATCTGAAAACACTGTCTCAGCCAGGTGATTAAGAGTGACATCAGCAGTGACAAGTCGTACTGGTAGTACGTTTCCTTGTTACGATGTGGGGAGGATGGGACTCACCTCTTTGGTTTTCCTCCCCAAAGCACTCTACCCCAGTATAATCATGAGGAAAACATCAGACAGATTACAATTGACAGACATTCTACAAAATATCAGAGCAGGACTCCTTAAAATCCATAAGGGTCATCAAAAAACAAACAAGGAAAGTCTGAGAAACAGCTGCAGTCAAGCGGATCCTGAGATATGACTACAAACATAATGTGGTATCCTGAATGGAGTCCCAAGAAAGAAAAGGGACAGCAGGGAGAAAACACAGAAATCTCAAGTAGAGATTTTAGTTAATTAGAATGGATCAAAATTGGTACATTAGTTGTGTCAAATGTACCATACTGATGAGAGATGCTAGTGATAGGGGAAACAGGATATGGGTGTGTATAGCACTCTCTGTACTATCTTCACAATAATTTTGTTAATCTAAAGCTATTCTAAAAATAAAAATGCTTTTTAAAATAAAAGGGTTGGGCATGGTCCCTACATAGCCCTAGAGAGGGTCCCATGCACCTGTGCCCAGAACGGGGGCACCATTGTGCCCTGGCTTTCCCCTCATCACTTTCGTGTCCGCCCCGACCCAAATGTGCTTGTGCAGAGGACTCAGTGCTGAGGTTGTCTGAAACCCTCAGGGAGATCGTGGGATATTCACCACCATCATTGCTGGAAAGAGCAATTTATGGCTTTGTTCTTAAGTTAATTTGATTTCACACTGTATTTTCTGTGGGCTTTTATTTCTGAATCTTGGCTGAACTCTTTAGCTTAGATTCAGATTTTGGTCTCAAAAATATTGGACAGTTGCATTACCTATATATCTCCTTTTTTCTATAGTAATTGGTTACAACAACCACCTATGTACTCTTTCACTTTTTTTAGAGGACTTTTATTTTTTAAGTATATTTTATTGTTTATGTTATTACAGTTGTCCCATTTTTTCTCCCTTTATCCCCCTCTACCTTGCACCCCATCTCCATCACTTCCCTTCTTTAGTTCATGTCCATAGATTGCACACATAAGTTAGTTGGCTTCTCCATTTCCTATACTATTCTTAATCTCCCCCTATTTTGGGCCTACCAATTATGCTTCTTATTGCCTGTAGCTTTCCCCCCATTCACCCCCTCCCATTTCCCCTGATGCAACCCTCTGGGTCACAGGTGGCAAACACAAGGCCCTCGGGCCGAATCCGGCCTCCACCTTGTTTTATCTGCCCAGCACCTTGTTTCTACCTGGAGGCAGTGCCGAGCTCTTGCTTAACTGTTAAGGAGTAGTTACATGTACGCGTATAAAATTACATTTGGCCCTTTGAAGGCAACTGCGAGGCTGATGTGATCCCTGGTGAAAATGAGTTTAACACCCCTGCTCTAGGTGATCTCCATTTCTGTGATTCTATTCCTGTTGCACTTGTTTGAGTAGTTTTTTTGTTGCTGTTGTTTTTTAGGTTCAGTTGTTGATAGTTGTGTGTTTGTTGTCATTTTACTGTTCTCATAGCTTTTGATCTTTTTTTCTTAGATAAGTCCCTTTAACATTTCATATAATAAGGGTTTGGTGATGATGAACTCCTTTAACTTGACCTTATCTGGGGAGCACTTTATCTGCCCTTCCATTCTAAATGATAGCTTTGCTGGATAGAGTAATCTTGGATGTAAGTCTTTGCCTTTATGGCTTTAAATACTTCTTTCCAACCCCTACTTTCTGTAAGGTTTCTTTTGAGAAATCAGCTGATGGTCCTGTGGGACCTTCTGTGGGAACTTCTTTGTAGGTAACCCTCACCTTCTCTCTTGCTGCTTTTAAGATTCTCTCCTTGTCTTTAATCTTGGGTAACTTAATTATGATGTGTCTTCATGTGTTTCTTCTTGAATCTAACTTCTTTGAGACTCTCTGAGCTTCCTGGACTTGAAAGTCTAGTTCCCTTGCCGGACTGGGGAAGTTATCCTTCATTATTTGTTCAAATAAGTTTTCAATTTCTTGCTCTTCCTCTCCTCCCTCTGGCACTCCTATGTTCAGATGTTAGAACATTTAAAGTTGTCCCAGAGGTTCCTAAGCCTCTCCTCATTTTTTTGAATTCTTGTTTCTTTATTCTGTTCTGGTTGGATGTTTATTTCTTTCTCTTGTTCCAAACTGTTGATGTGAGTGCCAATTTCCTTCTCTTCACTGTTCGTTCCCTGTATATTTTTCTTTATTTCACTTTGCATAGCCTTCACTTCTTCCTCTATTTTGTGACCATACTCAACCATTTCTGTGAGCATCCTGATTACCAGTGTTTTGAACTCTGCATCTGATGGGCTGTCTATCCCTTCATCACTTAGTTCTGTTTCTGGAGTTTTGATCTGTCCTTTCATTTGGGCTATATTTCTTTGTCTTGGCACCCCTGTTATGTTGTAAGGGGTAGAGCCTTAGGTACTCACCAAGGTGGGCAACCCACTTCACTGTGTTGTGGCTCTGTATGTGGGGGAGGGGTCAGAGAAAGAACAATGCTACTTGCTTGGCTCTCACCCCACTTTCTATCACTTCCCTCGCTTCCCACCAGTGGATTGTGCCTTTCAGGTGCTGATTCCCAGATGGGTGGGCCTCTCTTCATGGATTTCCTGTGAGACTGGGAGTTTCACAGGAACCCCCAACAAAACCACCAATGACACCCCCACAGATTTTTACAGCCAGAGGCTTTGAGGCTTTCTTTCCCTGCCCCGGGACCCTGGGTTGTGCAGTTTGTCTTGCTCTTCATTTGTCCTCCTGGCTTATCTGTACAGGCTGCCGGCCACTGCCTTGCCACTGTGTCCTCTCCCCCCAGCTTCCTGTCTCTGCCCCTCCTACCAGTCTGGATGAATGTTTCTTCTTTAACTCCTTGGTTGTTGGAATTCCATGTAGTTTGATTTTCTGGCACTTCTGGTTGTTTTTGTTTTTAAATTGGCTGTTATCCTTCTTTTGGCTGTGCAAAAAGGAAGTGAAGCAAAGTGTATCTACCTACGCTTCCATCTTGGCCAGTACTCCCCCCAGCTATGTGCTCTTGTTTAGAGTTAACAAGATGAGTACAAGTTTACTCAACTCCATTCATAACAAGAACTATGCTAAATATCAACAGCAGGAGAAATATCAAGAGAGGTCATCCCAGCATTATGAGATATTCCTTTTAGTAAAGTAAAGGAAATATTCTTTCTTTCATCCAAAGAACACCAAAAACCAAATTATATGTAGACATACTGGCACCAACCATTTGTGTATATGTTTTTGAAATAATAACTTTTACCATAATTATTTTGACTATCTTATTAATACCTAGTATTGATTGAGATGTAGAAGAAGAAAAGTTGAACTTTCTTAGATTGTTATATTTATATTGTAAATGTTCTTATATATTAGTTATTAATGAACATGACAAAAATACTGTACTACAAAAAATAAATAAAAAGGATGAATTATTGCTACATACAACTTGGATGGACCTAAAGGGAATTATGCTGAGTGAAAAAACCTAAACTCAGAGAGTTACATTTATACAACACTGTATATAACCTATAACAATTTATGTTAAAAATTTGAATAAACTAGAGCTAGAGAACAGATTAGTGGTGGCTAGGGTTTGGGGATAAAGGGAAAAGGGAGGGCATGAGTACAGGCAGGGAGCAGGAAGGAACTGTGCGATGATGAAACAGATCTGTATCTTGACTGTAGTGGTGATGACATGAATATACACATGTGATAAACTGCATAGGACTACATGCTCACACACGCATATGGCTGAATGTAAAGTTGGTGAAATTGGGATAAGCTTTATGAATTGAACTAATGTCATTCTCCTGGTTGGGATATGGTACTATAGTTATGGAAGGTGTTACCACTGGGGGAAATAAGTAAAAAGTACATGGAATCTCTCATTACATTTTGAAAAGCATTAGCTATTGGTGTTATGCATTCTTTTTTCTTATGGACATATAATTCATATGTCCTAAAATTCACCCTTTAAGCAGGGGTGTCCAACCTTTTGGCATCTCTGGGCCACACTGGAAGAAGAAGGGTGTCTTGGGCCACACATTAAATACACTGTGACACATCATCACAAAAAAATCTGATAATGTTTTAAGTAAATTTATGGTTTTGTGTTGGGCCCCATTCATGGCCATCCTGAGCTGTATGTGGCCCATGGGCCTCAGGTTGGACACCCCTGTGAGCACTTTAGTATAGTCACAGTTATGCTACAATCCTCACTAACTTCAGAACACTTTCATCACCCCAAAAGAAACCCCATATGCATTAGTAATCACTCCCCAGTCTCCCTTCCCCCGTCCTCTAGAAACCACTAATTTCTGTCTCTATTGATTTGCGCATCCTTGTTATTTCACATAAATGTAATCATACCTTGTGTGTTCTTCTGTGGTTGGTGTCTCTCACCTGGCATGTTTTCAGGATTCATCCGTATTGTAGCATGTGCCAGCACTTCATTCCTTTCTGTGGCTGGATAATATTCCACTATATAGACATGCCATATTGTGTTTATTGATTCATTAATTGATGGGCATCTAGGTTGTTTCCATATTTAGCCATCCTATTATGAATAATGCTGCTATGAACATTTATGAACCAGTTTTTTTAAAAAATATGTTTCAATTTTCTTGAGTATGTATGTATGAGTGGAATTTTTGGGTCATGTGGTAATTCTATGTTTAACTGTTTGAAGGACTGACACAATTTTCCAAGGTGCTGTACCATTTTACATTCCCAGCATCAGTGTGTGAAAGTTCTGACTCCACCACATCCTCACTAACACATTGTCTGTCTTTTCGATTATAGCCATCCAAGTGGGTGTGAAGTGATATGTCATTGTGGTTTTGATTTTCTGTTTCTTATTGACTCAGTTTCAGTAGCTTTTGTCTTCCTAGAAATTTTTCCATTTCATCTACGTCACCTAATTTGTTGGAATATAATTCCATAGTTTTCCCTTAATAGTCCTTTTCATTTTTATAAGGTTGGTAGTAATTTGAGTCTTCTCTCCTTTTATCTTTGTCTAGATAAATGCTCATCAATTTTGTTGACCTTTTTAAAGAACCAACTTCTGCTTTTATTGATTTTCTATACTGTTTTTCTATTCTGTTTCATTTATTTCTTCTCTAATCTCCCCTCCTCCTTCCTTCCACCTGCTTTGGATTTAATTTGCTCTTCTTTTTCCAGTTAATTCAGGTAAAAAGTTAGGTTATTTATTAAAGAATTTTCTTCTTAAAATATAAGCATTTATACATTCTTTGTATATTTTTTGCAACTTCATCTGAATCCATAATTATTTCAAAATAAAGACTTAAGAACAAGGTATGTGTTGTGCTATGCCAGGAAGCTGTGTATGTCTATGACTTGGCCACTGTACCTGCCCTCAAGGAGCTTAGTTTCATGGAGAAAGATAAAAGCTTAATTTCATGGAGAAAGCAGACCATATGGAGATGGTCTGCTGCAGAGATGCCTGCTGCAGAGATGAGAGAAAGCACTAAAGGCTGTCCAGGAAAATCATGAAGGCACAAGTGAGGGCTTATATGAATTGAGTGATGCTTTCATAATGGGAGTTCCATACTCAGTGAGGCCAGTCCCTCAGGAGGCTGTCACTTATTTCTCCTCAGACCTTTAGGGACCACGACTAAACTCATCTGGGATGTGGATGAAACTGCACTCTGATTAAGGCTAATGGTCCTAGCTGAGGGCTTTTCTCGGCAGCTCAAAATGCTCAAAGATGCCCCCATCTTCTACCAAGTCACTCAAAATGTTCTAAATGTGCAGACCAACTCCCTTCATGAAAGAGAGCAAGAATGATGTTAAACAAGAAGGAAAGCCTAAAAATTTTGTTGGGGTTGCTAATATTGAAAACATTTCTTTTAACTTTAATTTTGAAATAATTTCAGACTCACCAAAAAAATTTACAAAAATAGCAATTCCTATATACTCTCTACCCAACTTTCTCAACACTGACAAACACTAAAAATTAACACTGGGTTTCCAACACTTGTTTAATTTTTATTTTTAAATTTTGTTGTTTTTCTTTAACTAGATAACATGCAGGTAAAAAAATCTTGTTCTCACCTCTGCCCTTTCTAGTCCATCACTCTCACTCCTCACAAACACTCACAGGTGGCCACCTGCATTTTTCTTTATGCAAACATAAACAAAATATTGTCATACCTTCCCCTCTTCTCTGCACCTCCCCCCCCAAAAAAAGCTATCATCCAATGCATTCTGTTCTGGACCTTGCATTTATCATTTAACTTATAAAGATGTCCAAAACACAACACAGTTATGCTTTTTTTAAAAGGGTCATCAGTATTTATCCCATCTCAGCCCTACTGCTCCTCAGGATTACCTCAGACATTGCTTATGCTCTCTCTCTTTTTTGTCTAACATTAATTGTTTGAATCCCAAATGCCCCAAGCATAGTTTTCTGTGCTGACAAGCCCAGGGGTTACACAGACCCCAGGCAGAGTGACTGGAGCAAAGCCACCAATCAATCCCCTGTGCTATCAGGACCATAGGGACACATTCAGAAGTGACAGCAACAGTGTGATGATTGCCTTAGCATGAGAGACACCCCAAAGAGATCACTCTAGGCCAAGGAGAGATGATCTGGAACAAGGCCTTGTTGCCAAGCAACCCCAGAGGGAATGAAATTAACGCAATCTGTTTTTCATGTAACTGCATCTCAAATGAAAGCTGAGGCCAGAGTTGGTCCCATGCAAAATTAATAATTACCACATGATTCTTTCTTTTAAATGCCTGTTGCCAAAAGACTGGAGACTAAAGAAACCAGTATATCCTTTTCTTAAAGAAATGATGGAAAAGGGAAAACAAATAAATTCAGATCCTGGCTTCTTTTTTTTTTTTCTGTGAGAGAGAGGGGAAGGGAGGGAGAAAAATAGGATGAAAAATATCAATGTAAGGGAGAAACATTGATCAGCTGCCTGTCGTACAGACCTGGACCAGGGACCAAACCCACCACCCAGGCATGTGCCCTTGACCGGGAATTGAACCATTTGGTTTGAAGGAAGATGCCCAACCAAGTCACACTGGCCAGAGTGAGATCCTACGTTTTTCCATTTGAATGTTAGATAGGAAATAAGGCATTTCTTAGACTGCTGTTGAATCTGCCCGTTGGGAAACCTGCTTTAAAAGCCAGATCCCAAATAGACAAAATAATACGCACCAAAGAGCTGAGGGAGGATTTTTTTCTTAGAGGCGAGAGACAGCTTTGGATCATTTGAGACCCTTTTAGTCTCCTTTTTAGAAAATTTACAATGCATCTTCCCCATTACTGTGTTCAGAGATGGTAAATTATCACAAAAATAAAAATAGCCGTACTGCCTACAGCCTACCCACTCTCCCTAACCTCACTCTAAAGGCTGAAGGAAGAGCATAGCTTGATATGCTCACTAACCTTTGCCTTTTGAGAGCTTATCAATATTTAAAAGGCAAAAATAACATAGAAAAGATTCCACTCCCACCTTGCTTCAGCTGCACTAATTTGGGTAAATTAACTGTTTGGTTGGAGCAGAGCAATGGCTTTCTCACCGAGAGAACCTTTCAATTATTATTTTGTGGTTGTGTGACTCGAAGCATTTTTAGCCAAGGAAACTAATTTTACCTGAGAAGGAAAACTTTTCTGCCCAACAGAAGGTTGGATCCAGACTTTATCCTGGGGAAGGTAGCTATCAGACTGTCTTTCATACTTAGTATTTACACAACATATTTACTGGCATTGAGGCAGGACACTCCCTTGCTCCTCTTCTGCCACCCCACCACCCTCACCTCGCAGTAGACCAGTCTGAGCTAATGTCCTCTTGGCCAACTTGTCTCTGTGAAGCAGTAAGTGTTTGCCGATGGAGCTGAGCAGAATTTACTGGTACAGAGAGAAGAAACCAGACAGTGAAGAGTGTACACTTGAGTTTTGTAAACCTCTATCAGTCAAGGTCTCAGCAGGAAACAGATGATAGGGGTGCTTTGAGGAGTGTTTGATAAAAGGATTATTTACAAAGGTTGGTGGGAAAACCACAAAAGGTTGGTGTTACCTTGTGTCGGTAACATTGGGTTGGGAGTTGTTACCAGGTCTAGGCCTGAAGAAGTGAGGCCTGGCTGGAAGAGGGGTGACATTTAGAGGGCCACACTACAGAAATGCAACCTTCAGTGGAGGTGTGAATATCCCAGTATCACTTTTCCCCTTCCTGCTTATCTCTGGCTAGATTTCCCCATTTGGCTGAACCCCACTACAAGTCAGAGGGCAAGGAAACCCTTAAATGTAGTACCTATAGGCCAGCCTCCTGGATTATGGAGCACCCCCTAGCCTACGGGGGTGGGGTGAACCTTGGGCTAGCTGCCTGGCCTTGGCCCAATCAGTGGCTATTCCTGGACATGAAAGAGCTTGGTGCTTTCACTCTGAGCAGGGAGCAATAGGTGGGTCAGGTTCCTTTCTATAGGAGACAGTTGGTGTGCAGAGCCCACAGCTGACATGCCTTCGGTCCCTGACCCAAGATGATGTGCTCCTGGAAGGCAGGTCCCAGGGTCTGACATTAGTGTCAAACACAAAGACATCTGACATTTGTTGAGAAGGACTTTGCTGATCCACAGGCACAGAAGCCAACCTAAGCTGGGCTGATGAAGAGACATGCTCTCAACATTTGCAACCTGTTGGGGACAGTGGCTCCCTTTTTCCTGAAATGCCTCCCAGCTATACATGGCCAAGCCAGGGGTAGGCTCAGTCCTTGCACTAAGAAACCTCTCACAGTAGCAAGAAAGCAAGTAAGGCACTGTCTCCTGTGTTGGTAACACTCTTACTGCTTTTCAGTGATACGAGCTGATTGACATTGGGGAGAGACACCACCGATTCTTTCCAGAGTAAAGATGTTCATGGTGTGAAGCAGGGACTCCATGCTGTGTATCCTAAGATGTTTTCTTCTTGGGTGGACCTGAGGGATAGAATTTCTTTGGGTAAAAAGTGGGAGTGTGAGCTATAGTACAATCTACTAGCAGAAACATTTGTGGGCTCTCCTACATTTCTGGTCTAGGATCTCTGAGGCAAAAAACAAACAAAAAACCCTGTTTCTCTTGCAGGGACAACTGGCACTTTCAACATGGCACATCTTTGCAGATCAAATTTTTAAGTCTTTGGGAGACTCATTAACCTGGAGACAGCTGGATAGCAACTTGAAGGTTATTCATGAACAGCAGGGTTTGACCCATGGGGCTGGGAAAGGTTTTAATTTACTTCATCTGACAAGTTATTGAGGACTTTCCAGCTGTTTTGGAATGCTCTGTCCCAAGCTATAGAGGTTAAAACTTCTCCTTTCTGGGGAAAATCATTCCCCCAAAGTCACAATCTTCAGTGTCCATTCTCTCTTCTCTTCCTCCTTTAACCGATCTGCCATCTCACCAAGTCAAGAAAAACACAGCCATTGTGTTCCCTATTGCAAGTTGCTGCCTTGCACAGAACTTCCACCTTTAAACCAAACCAGCAATCTACAAACCAAACCAAAAGAGAACACAGGGAAGGGAAAGTGGAACTGGTTTCCCTTGAGCCCTGCCTGGTTTTCATCTGGCATAACCTGATTCTAAGTCACACTAGCAAAAAGCCTGATTCACTTTAACTCTTCCCATCTGCCCACTCTTTCATTAAAAAAAAAACACTTAAAAATGTATGTTTTCTGATTATAACAATCACAAATACCATTTGGAAAAGAGAATGTACCCTTTCCACCTCTAATACAGTTTAAAACTGAAGCCATGCTTGACTCTTCCCTCCCAGGGGTTTTCAGAGGAGGTAGGTGAGTGCAGCCCTCCACCTGGGACCCTGGGTTCCATTGTGGTACCTGTTGCCTGTTGAGAGAGCTTGGGCCCCAGTGCCTGTGATTTCAGTCAGATGATCACAGCTGTCTAAATGTTCATCTTAACCAGATTTTACTGATAAAAGTGTAGAGGGACAGTCAGGAAATAGCAGTGGATTGTTATTTCATTAGAAACATTTTGAGTTCAGGCTTTGCCAGGAACTAACTGTTACCTTCCAAGTGTCCAGCCACTCTGCATGTTTATCATTTGTGAAATATTAGCTGTTTGATTATGTCTAAGGTTCTATAAATTGCCCTGAGCCATAGTTTAAGAACAAAATGTTTATTTGATTAATCTACTTTCTCTGTCCACCACGGTTCTTACCCTTTCCACTTCAAAGACCTACAAATTTTACTGTTTTCTCATTACCCAGCCCAACCACTTTTCCCTATTGTAAGGAGTGAAATGTTCTCTTCCAACTGTGCATGCCAGTGAGCAAATGTGTCTCACTTCTTGGTTATTTTTCATGTTTTTTTCTCTCTGCTCTTTCTGTTGTCTTCCCAGTCTTTCATCCCAAATGAGTCCTCACAAAAGCAGGTTTGCCTCTCAGTTCTATGGCTTTAATTGACATATTCAATTAATGAGCAAGTCTTTATTGGGCACCCACAATGCACAAAGCACAACAGCTCAGCACTGTTGAAGAGGTAAAATAGTTTTGAGACATGTTCTCAGCCTCCGGGAGACAAGACTCCTGAGACTGCAAGTCCCAGTTGCCTCTGGTTCAGTGCGGACCTCTACGCAGCTGACTTGGATTACTACCCCTCCATGCTGAAACATTCTCTTCTCTGAGCTGCTGCACCTGCACACCGTGTTTGTTCCCTTTTTCTCTCACTTCTTCCTGGATCCCTTTTGCTGGACCCTCCCTCCAGTCCATTCACTAAATTTGGTCCTCAGGGGCTCTCTCCTCATCCCTCTTCTCCTCTCAGTCTCTTCTTTCCCTGGACCATGTCAACCATTCTTATGACTTTAGTTACCACCTATATGCTTATACTTCCCCCAAATCTATATATTTGTTCAGACATATGTCTGAGGCAGGACCCGTGATCACATTAACATATTTGTGGTGAGACATGGGATACATAACAATGACAACTACCCTGTCAGAGGCTCCAGTAAGATTTTGCTGTCAGGTTGGTTTTAGTGCCACCTTATGAGAAAACTTTCATTTTTCAGAGCTTTGTGGACTTCAGAATTGCAGAGAAGATTATGGGCCTGTATTATGAGGGGCAGCTTTTCTTAGTCGTGCAGGGAAGATAAAGAAACAGTTCTGGTACCCTGGCTGGTGTAGCTCAGTGGATTGAGCACAGGCCTGCGAAACAGAGGATCGCGGTTTGATTCCCAGTCAGGGCACATGCCTGGGATGCAGGCCAGTTCCCAGCAGGGGGCGCACGAAAGGCAACCATACATTGATGTTTCTCTCCCTCTCCTTGCATTCCCCTTTCTGCAGAATGACGAGTGTTCACAAGACTTTAAGTCTCTACTTGTAGAATGAGGAGTAACCAAATCTGGTGAACAGTTATTGAAATATATATATATTCATATACACACATATATAGTAAGTTCTACCACATCTGGCTCCTCACTACAATAGTGGCATATCAGAATCCAGCACCTGACTTCCAGCCAAGATGGAGGTGTAGGTGGAAACACTGTAATTCCTCGCACAACCAAGTTTATGGAAAACAAATATTTAAAAACCAGAACCCAACCAAAACAGAGAGAAAATTAAACTGTACCCAAGTCCGACAACAACAAACCATTCATCCAGACCGGTAAGAGGGGCAGAGTCAGTGGCTGTCAGAGAGGGGTCCTGCAGGAAAAAGTGGCCAGACCGACCCAGGTGCGCAGGCAGAGGTTGGCAGATCCCAGGTGTGGGGTGGCAACAGGCAGACCCAGTGAGGGCGCAAGGCAGCAGGCTGACCACGGTCACACATTCGTGTGCAGATAAACCAGGCAAAGGAGCGAGCAGTGTGATAGACCGCGCAACCCAGGTCCCAAGCAATGGGAATTAAAGCCTAAAAGCACCAACTGGAAAAACTTTTGGGGTCCAGGTGCCGGGAGAAGCTCCCAGGCTCACAGAGAATTTGTTGGAGAGACCCAGGGTCCTGGAGAGTGCACAGGCCCACACACCTGGGAACTAGCACCAGAAGGGCCCAATTTGTTTGTGGGAAGCAGCAGAGGGGACCAAAATCCGAGAGCAGAAAAAAAGCCATTGCCCCTCTCTGACCCCACTCCCACATACAGCATCACCACCCAGTGACCTGGGTTGCCCCGCCCTGGTGCACGCCCCTCATACGTAACAGATGTGAACAGACCAAAACATTATGGCTCAAGAAGAAGAACAGCTCAAAGCCCCAGAGCCCATACTTCTAAGTGACCAAAATATAGCCAACCTATCAGATGCACAGTTCAAAACACTGGTGGTCAGGATGCTCACAGAACTGGTTGATTTTAGTCACAAATTAGATGAAAAAGTGAAGGCTTCACTAAGTGAAATGAAGCAAAATGCACAGGGAACCAATGGTGATGGGAAGGAAACTGGAACTAAAATCAAGGGAGTGGACCAGAAGGAAGAAAGAAACAACCAAACAGAAAAGAATGAAGAAACAAGCATTCAAAAAAAATGAAGAGAGGCTTAGGAACCTCCGGGACATCTTTAAACGTTCCAACATCCGAATTATAGGGGTCCCAGAAGGGGAAGAGGAACAGCAACAAGTGGAGAACTTATTTGAACAAATAATAAAGGAGAACTTCCCCAATCTGGCATAGGAAATAGACTTCTAGGAAGTCCAGGAAGCTCAGAGAGTCCCAAAGAAGTTGGACCCAAGGAAGAACACACCACGGCACATGATAATTACATTAGCCAAGATTAAAATGAAGGAGAGAATCCTAGAAGCAGCAAGAGATAAGGGGACAGTCACCTACAAAGGAGCTCCCATCAGACTGTCAGCTGATTTCTCAAAAGAGACCTTACAGGCAAGAAGGGGCTGCAAAGAAGTATTCCAAGTCATGAAATCCAAAGACCTACATCCAAGACTGCTCTGTCCAGCAAAGCTTTCATTTAGAATGTAAGGACAGATAAAGTGCTTCTCGGATAAGGTCAAGTTCAAGGAGTTCATCATTACCAAGCCCTTATTATATGAAATGTTAAATGGTCTTATCTAAGAAAAAAAAGGATAAAAATATAAACACTGAAAGGACAGCAAACTCACAGTTATTAACAACCACACCTAAAACAAAAGCAAACTAAGAGGACAGCTAGATCAGGAGCAGAACCATAGAAATGGAGATCACATGGAGGGTCGGCAACAGGGGAGTGGGAGAAGGAGAAGGGGGAGAAGGTACAGAGAATAAATAGCATAGACAGTAGGTAGAAAATAGACAAGGGGAGGGCAAGAATAATATGGAAAATATAGAATCTAAAGAACTTGTGATACATGGACATGAACTAAAGGGGGGGAATGTGGGTGGGAGGGGGGTGTGCAGGGTGGAGGAGAATGAAGGGGGAATAGAACAACTGTAATGGCATAATCAATAAAACATTAAAAATAAATACATAAATAAATAAAATAATAAATTGGGAATAATTTTTTTTAAAAAGAAAGAATCCAGCACCTCACTCTACCTAGAATTTCTCACTTAGCTGAAACCCTTGGGGTTTCTTTAACACACAGTCTCTGTACTTCCTGAACATACACAGAAATATTCATGTGTATGGCTTTAATTCTTGGGTATTTAACTAGGTATGAAACGATGAACAAATTAATTCCCCAGCTTTTTTCAATGATGACTACTCTCATACCCTAGCATAACACTTCCTATGAGCTGGCCCTACAAGATTAGTAACAGAGCTAGAGAATGTTCGAGAGGCCAAGGGAGGGGAGACAGGGTGGCATCATGCAAAGGCTGGATAAAATGTTATTTTAGTATTTTCAGTGAGACAGAGAAAAAATTTATACAACTATCTCTACCCACTACCCCCCTTTTGTTTTATAAAGCCTTTTTTTGTCCAAATCTCAATTTTGGATTAGACCCTTGTTGACTATGTCTGTTTAAGTCCTAAATAAGGGCTTATTTGTTTGACCTGCCACATCCATAATTGGTCTAACTGCTCATTTCATTTCCGATTGTGTAGACTGTGCTAGGAAGCTTGGCAGGAAGCACACTATGAAAATGTGGAACTGAACAGCTTAATGTGTGTAATTTGGGAAGTTCAGCAGATGCCAGGGCTTAGCAGGCTCCCGGCTTGTTCAAGACTAATCCTGTGGATTTTCGTTCTTGTGGGCATCATGCCTCTTAAGTCTGAGGGCTTGGGTCTCACCCAAACTCAGTCCACACAGCCAGCTCCCAGACATTTCACTCTTAAAAACCAGGACAGTAGTTGACACTTGGAAGCTCTTCTGTCACTTCTTCCTAAGGAAGTAGAAGGGTAATGAGATAATTGGTTTCCAGATGTGGTTCTGGTAAAGGCTGACACGGTTTCTGAGGACATAAGAGTGGACTCCAGGTTGATAACTAGGAGACCTGGATTGGGCTAGGGATTGCTCCCCTTCAGTGGATGACATGTGCCACCCAGATTCCCCCTCCAAGACTGAAGCTCTCACTTCCCAATCTACTGGGAGTGTTAACAGCAGCAACTGTCAGCTGAGATCCTCTCTGAGATTTTTCCTCTGCTGAAAACTGCCACTTTGCCAATGGTTATGCTCCTTTCCAAATTGCAACCCTAATCTAATGTCTGGTGGATCAAGAATAAAAAGGCTCAGCTCTCTCACACTGATTTAGGACAACTCTGAACTATCCTGGCACCAGGCCTCCCTGAAAGATCAGCTAAGGCCTTTATTGTGACCGTATTGCAGTTCAACTTCTCTATTCATTTGTGCTTACTTCCCTTCCTCCGTGCATTGATGCTGAGAATACTCCCCAATAAAATTCCTATACACAAATCCCTGTCTCAGGGATGGGGAAACCCCACTGCAACACTCCCTTTACTCTGGTTGGTACTGGACTGTGTTTGGGGGTCCCTATCTCCTTCACATGATCACTCAGGAGTACACTGTAATTGGTCTAAGCTAGTCAGGTGGCCTCATTCATTTAGCCAGGGATTGGCTTAAGAAGGGTCATATAAGCAATGATATGGGAAGGGAAATCTTTCCTGCATCATGAAAAGAGACAAAGGAAGAAGAAATTCTTTTTCTTTTTTTTTCAAAGGAATTTATTTTATTTTACTTTATTTGTCATTTAGAGAATACTTTATTAGTTTCTATAATAAAACCCATGTAAATTAAGTCCTGCACAAATAGAAAAAATATGTTGAATGTTTCTAGACTAGTATAGATGTTAATTTCTGTACAATGCTGACCCAACATGGTACAAGTGGGATAGTTTTTCTGAAGTTGACAGCACAGCTAAAGTTTCAAAAAAAAAAAAATATATATATATACATATATATATATGTATATATATATATAAAATTTGGATTAGGAAACTAATTTTATATATATATGTGTGTGTATGTATATACATATATACATACACACACACACATATATATACACACATCCACATGTTTATATATTTATACATATTTATATAAAAAAGCCAATAACAGCATGTTATCTATCAATAGCATAGAAATTCTTTTACTGCTGATGTTAGTTCTGAGTGGAATTCCTGAAATAGCTGTAAAAAAGGGACAGGAGTGGGAAGAAGATGGAGCAGAAAGAATAGCAGAAAAATTAAACTGAAGCAGATGACCTTTTTGTCACCTGGGATAAATCCCCGTAGCGCAGAAGAGATTTGTCATGTATTTAATGATGGAGCTAGGTCTATAGTCTCTGATTTTTGTTACAGTTCCAGCTGTCCATTCCACTTCCCCAACCTTGGTACATCTGTCCTTTTTGAAATGTTTGATTGTCAGGATTCTTCCTTGAAAGTTTCTGGTGACCCAGATTCTGTTTTTTTCTGACTTTTGATGATCATTAATTTGACTCTGGTTGATCAATTAAACTCTGCTTCCTTTTTCTATGGAATTATGGGCATGAAGTTTATACAGTTAATGTTATGCAATGTGTACACGCAGCGGGGGGTGGAGGGAAAATGGCTTCTAAATGATGCTGACTCTGGAAAACTATTTTCTTGGATGGCTTTAGAAGAGAAAAATGGTGATGAAAAGGCTTTGAAATTATAGAAGAACAAGGGCTTGAACTTAATGTTTGACCCAGCATAGGATATTTATTTTTAGAAAAATGTATTCTCTCCTATCTATAGTTTGTTTTGAAATGTCAGTTCATAGCTACCCCAGAGTTTGATGCAGAAGAAATTGCCTGACTTGGCAGTGAAACTGATGGTGGGGAGCACACTTCTTCCATCTGCCAGTATTCCCCTCCATCTAAAGACTGTTGCTTTTTTTATTTTGCTAGTTAGGTCTAATTTATAAACAATAAAATGCATAAATCCAAAGTGCACAGTATGATAAGTTTTGACAATGGTATACTCTCATGTAAGTATCTTTCTAGTCAACAGATGGAACATTTCTCTCATTTCAGAAAGTTCCTTATCCTCAAAGCGACTAGTTTTCTGACTTCTATAACCACAGGCTAGTTTTTATCTGTTCTTAAACTTCATGTGTATTTCTTGTATGACTTATTTCACTCAACATGTTTTGAGATCCATCCATGTTATTATATGTATCTTGCTTCCCTTTCGAGACTCTCATGGGGACCATTGCTCTCTGATTTCTCTGACCATCATGTCAGAACCTGGCCCTTCCTGGTGATGGTTTTGCTGTGATACAACTTGCTAAGTGAGTGTCTTAAATCACTGGGTCCTAAAGATCAAGCAAGTGGCTCTTCCCAGGGAGAGCCAATTGATCTTTCCAGTGTACATGGTGATAATGATGATGATGTCCGAACTCTCTGGAATGAGGATAGGACAGAAATTCCTCCTATGAATTCCCAGGACAAATCCTCAGAATTCTATGCCAAGACACCACCTGTATTCCTTCTTGGTGAGGACTTGGTCTTGCTGCCATGGCCAAGGGAGAAACAAACACTTATTAAGTGTCTACAGGCACTTGGTCATAAATGACCTCATTTCTACTTCCTGGGAACTCTTTGAGATAGGTATTATTATACCTATGAGGGCACACAGGGCTTATTCCCAGAGTGGGATTTGAATCTGGAGGTTTGTGGACTTCCATACCATGATTTTTCATCAGCAGCAGCCAAACCTAGGCCTCTGTGTCCGTCTGAGCTGGCTCGTGCATACCTCCAGGTGACTGTTATAACCATGACTGCATTTCTGCAGGGCTAGAGAAGACTTGGAGCTAGAGGGACTTCCTTTCTCAATGAGAGCCAACTAGAGTTGGCAGATAAATTGTCGTTTTTCAGAAATATTCTGTTCCCCTTAGCTGGACAGTCCTGACCTTTAGTAAAGGTCAAATCTTTGTTATGCCCCTTAGAAATCACTGTTTTGTCACAGTTGCGTTTACAACTGAGATAGTTTCCAGACCCAGGAAAGCTTTACAAAGGATGATGCTAGCAAAGAGGCATTAGGCTCTCTAATAGGTTTATGCCCTGATAATCATATTAATGGCATTGTCTCATACTTGATGCTATAATTATGGGCCTCTCCTCTTGAATGTAATTTTGTAGTTTGAAAATAATTACAAGTATGGTTTTGTGTTTCTCCTTAATGAAAGTTCCATTCACCAAACAATATGATGACCCTATCAGAGATGACTGTTCCCTTCAAATTGTTGTCCTCAGACCCCACCACAATACCATGTACAAGCTGGACTTTACGAACCTGAGAATTCTGAATTCTTCCTGCATCACAGGACTCTGTGGGACCTGGAGCAACTCGTCAGAATCATGATATTGTTTTCTAGTACCGTTGTCAGATAATAAGGTTTTTAAAAAATTTTTATTTATTTATCTTTAGAAGGGAAGAGGTAGAGAAATATCAATGTATGGTTGCTTCTCATGTGTGCCCTGCTGGGAACTGGGCCCTGCTGGGAACTGGCCTGCAACCCAGGCATGTGCCCTGACTGGAAATGGAACCGTGATCTTTTGGTTCACAGGCCGTGCTCAAACCACTGAGCTACACCAGCCAGGGCTAGATAATAAGGTTTTATGTTTTTCTGCTATTGCAGTAAAAAAAATCTTGAGGGCATGTGTTTACTGTAGAAGCTAGTTAATTTTTAACCTGTAACTCAATTGTTCAACATTCACATGATCTCTAGTATCAGGTGTTTGGCCTCCAGAAAGCTACTTTTGGGGTCTTCATTTTCCTATTTGCAAGTTCTAAGGGATTTGGACTGGAATTCTAAGAATTCCAGTGCCAAGATTTCACTTTTCCATTAGTAATTAATATTTTAACCATTGACATGTGGCTGGATTTTTTTTTTAAGTCTTCATGGCCCCACCTGAGACTGATTAACACACTAACAAAACACTGTTTCTGGAGTTACCTAAGTTTCTGGAGCTACCTACGTCCATAGCATATCTAAGATTTGGGGACTGTGTTGCTGATACTACCCATGTGCACTTGGCTCAGTTGTATGCTGAGAGCTTTCCCAAGCCTGTGGTGAAGGGAGGATGGAGGTATAGGGCTGTGTCACCAGCTAGGCCATGGGACCAGCCACAGAGGAAGAAGGCCCTTATCCTAAACCATGTCCAAAGGCTTGCAGGAGATAGCTCCAACTCAGCCAAGGAGGTAGAAATCAGCTCTGGGTGCTTGCTGGTCTTAGGCGCTGGTGTGGCACCTCCAGGTGGGTTGTGGGTGTTCCTGGACAATGAGGCAGAGGCAGTAAAAGGCAAAGGAGGCAGGTATGAGAGCTGGCTCAGGGCTTTGGCTCTGTGGACACACAGGTAGGTGCCACAGGTTGGCCAGGTGCACTGAGGCAAATAGCAGCAGGAGGAATACCCAGGGCTGTTTGCTCAAAAGCCTGCAGGTCAGCCGGGTAAAATTACCAGGTGTGTGTTGGCACCAATGAGGGCACAGAAAACTTCCTGAAGATCAACCTGTTTCTTCACCAGGAAAATGGGTGACAAAGAAAGACCAAAACATGAGAGGCCCAGGGCACAGTACGTAGATTGTGTAGCTCAGCCCCTTCAACCACCCTGGCAAGACTGCAAAAAGACAGGGCACAGGCTAGAAAGCAGGGGTGCCAAGAGAGAAGTCTGTGATGTAAAAATGTTTTCTAGACCTATGGCAGACTGTCAGGTCGAGTCTTTGCAGCCACACAGAAGGGGCATGTTTGCAAATATTCTCCTCAGTGAGAAGTCAGAGTAGCTTCCAGTCCATCAGCTCCAGGAAACCTCCCAGACTTCCAGCTCTGGCTAATTGTTCCCTTTTCTGATCTCAGAGCCCTTATTTTCTGTAACTTACAATTTAGCACTTAATCAGACATAGCAGTGCATTCCTCTCTAATTGTCTTTGGTGTGTTTGTGCTGTCTCTGGGACAAGATTACAGCTTCCTTCAGAGCAGAGACTGAACCTTTTTGGGAAGGCTTCTAGGAGAGATGTGGGTGTATGTGGTGGGGTTCTGAACTCAAGAAATCATTCCTGTTTCTATAGTGTTGTGTAGTTTAGGAGGTGCTTTTGCTTACCTCTTCTACTCCTTATAATTGCTTTGAGAGGTGGTGTGTTTTAGCCTCCTCATCTTACAGACCGTGAAACTGAGACAGGAGAGGTCAACAACCTGTCTGAGGAAGAGAGAAGGTGAGTGTAGTAGAGGTAAAATAAGCCTGGGATTCCTGATTGACTGCCAGGATCCCATAGGGGCTCATCTGGACAAGAGTTCTCAGTGGAGAAGAGGAGGGTAGCTGTGGAGGCTTCCACATGCCCTTCCCTGATGGAAACCTTGAGGGGAAGAAAGATGTGAGAGGGATGTGGCCCTGGTTTGCCAAGCTACTGGATCAAGCTTCATAAAGACACAACCAGGGCAAAATCAACTGTGCCACTCATGTCTATTTCCACTGTTATTCCCTAATGGATCCTCTACCTGCCATCATAGCACAGTGCTCTCTGCTCTTTCTAGCACCTGATTTTCCCCCTTTCCTCTCACCAAGCTCCCCCTGCACCCCCACCCCTGCACATCCAAATCTTATCTATGAGTCTCTAGGACTGCAGACTTCGACAGGCAAACAGAATAGAAGGGCAGTTCACTGATGCGTGCATCTGTCCATCCATCCTTAAGGTCTGCTTAGAATGAAATTCCCACCTTCTCTGCCTTCCCTGCAGCAGTGGGAGATGAAGCTGCACTCTTTCACCTCTGTGTCCCCCTGGGCCTCAAGGTGGGATGAGTCCTCTTTCTCCAATCATTTCTCTTCTACCTCTTGCAAACACCCTGTCTCTTTGAAGAGGCTGCCACCTAGCCATAGTCTCTCTCCTCTTGCTGGTGGTTCCCACCTTCTCATTTCCTGGTCACTCCCTTTCTCTTACACTCTTAGGACTTTAGCTCACAACTCCATGGCCTTCACACTGTGACTGCAATTCCTGCCCACATCCTGGATGGTTTCACTACCCACAGAGATGACCCATCTGATACCCTGCTTCTGAATCCCCTGATCTCACATTCCCCAGTGACTTTCTCTTCTGCCTTTCCCCAATACATTCTGGCTTTGTTTTGGCCCTAAACTTGTCTATCTCCTAGAACACTAATTTTTTTTCTTGAAGTAACAACAAGAATGGAATTTAATCTTTATTTACAGGACTGCACCACTCATTTAAGCATCCCGATGTCTAACCCAACTCCCTCTCCTTTCTGCATGACTGAGCCTTGGCCCCGCTGACCCATCCAACCCACTAACTTCCGTCCTTTCTCTCTCATCATACATCATGTCAACTCCACTTTTGCCAAGGTCTCCAATGTGCTCCTCTGCCTTAGCAATTCCCTCACCTGAGCCTGCACCAGAGCAGACAGCTAAGCTCTGCTGCACGAAATCACGAGAGGGCCAATGGGCACTTTACAAGTTCAAACCACCAACCAAGAAGGTTGCCATGCTGTCTTGACATCTGGCATATTCTCTGATCATCTCAACTCTCCCATCTGCTGCAATGACTGTGTCAAGCCTCCACTTTCTTCAAATCTCTCATTTCTCTTTGCCTCACCCCCAGCCTCTTGCATGTCACAGAATAAGAGGAAATTATCAGGTGGAAGGATTCAGCATTGCACACCAAACCTGCCTGGTGTAGCCCTCCTCCAACGTCTTCCCTCCTGTTATAATAGAGGAGGTGATCTGCATGACGTTAGTCTTTCCACCCATCCTCTGGTTCCGCTCCCCCCATGGTCACAGGAAGCTTTATTGTCCATTGTCTTTTTTCTGCTGTACCTTTATCTTTCTCCTTTCTATAGGATGCTCCCCATCTGCATTTAAACACATTCAAGCTATTCCATCCTAAAAAAAAATAAAGTAATATATAAACTAAAATAAACCCACTGCTGACATAAGATCCCCCTCCAGCTATTTCTCTCTCTGACCCTTCACCATCAAAACTTTTAGGTATTGCTTGTACTCAGTGCCTTTGTTCATTTCTTCACCACTCACTCTCTCCTTAGTGCTCCCCACCCCTTCACTCCACCAGTCACTGTTCTATAAAAGTCCCAATGACACCAAGGTCACTTGATCCATTTTCCTCGGGTCTCAGCCATTTAGAATCTTGTTGACCACTGCCTTCTACTTATGACACATTCTTTCCCTGGGCTCTGTGACCCTACCTTCCTAAGCTCCTAGTTTTCCTCCTGCCCCTCTGGCTGCTCCTCTACCCCTCTGCCAGATAGTTTACCTCCGTCCAGCGTTTAGATAAAGGTTCCCTGAGGCTCAGCCCTAGGCCTTCTTCTGACTGAACTCCACACTCTCCCAGGAGACCACATCTACACCAGCCACTCCAGCTGCAGCCTCTCCTCAGAGCGCCATACCCTACAACCAACCACCTAGTGAACACCCCCACTTGGACACCTCATAGGCACTTCAAACCGACCTTGACCAAATATGAACTTTAGAAAGGTTTTCTCAACCACCACCCTGAGAGGTCCCCGATTCAGAAAACTGGACCACTATCCATCTAGTTAAAGAAGCAGAAATCTGGGAGTTTGCCTAGATTCCTCCCTACCTAAGCAGTCACCAACTCTTGTTGGTGTTCACTTTTCCCCATTTGCTGTACTCCTTAAACAATCCATTTTACTTATAGCAACAACCTCCTAGCAGACTGTCCCTCCACCCTCCTCTTCCCTCTCTCCTATCCCTTCTTCGCACTGTAGTAGTCAGAGTGAGCTTACTGGAAATGGTATACTAGGCCCTGCATGATCTAGCCTCTGCCTCGCTCTCCAGCTTCCCCCTCAACCACATTCCCCTTTCTAACCTGAAACAGCCGGGAACTCTGTTCCACTCTCCTTTTTTGCCTGACTACATCCTGCTGACCCTTCAGAGCTCAAGTCCAATGTAACCTCCTCTTGGACTCCCAGACAAATGTGACCTTGTAGTCCCATTGGCCCATATCACAACTGTAATTATATAATTGATAGTGTATTTACTTGTTAAGCCCTTCTCTCTCCAGCTAGACAGTGAACTTCAAGATGGAAGTGTGTCTGCCATGTTCACCACTCCAGTGCCTAGCCCTGTGCCGTGCACCTAGTAGGTGGTCAACACATCCAAGGGAGGGACCCCCCCCCAGGACCTGGGATTTATTTATAAAAAATTATGTATTTATTCTTACCTGTTTAAACTTCATTCACCTTCAGAGTACGCTCCATTTGATGCACTACACCTACTGAGATGTTTTTTCCACTGATCAAAATGTTTTTTGAACTCATTTATTTTGATGCCTTTTAGTGCTTCTGCTGTTTTTTGTTTCCCCTCTTCCACATTGGTAAAAAGTTTCCCTTTGAGGACATTTTTCATCTGGGGAAACAAACAAAAAAGTTGCTTGGGGCAAGATCAGGTCAATAGGGAGGGTAGGGCATAGGGGTCATGATGTTTTTTGGTCAAAAACTGCTGAACTCTCAGCGTGGTTGTGGGCAGGTCCACTCGTAAAAGAGCAAATGCACTGAAAGTCTTCAAAATAAATTCACTGAAGCCAAATGCAGCCTCTCACAACAACACCAGTTCATACACTGATACAGATGGGATCCTAGAACACTCATGTAGCAGGGGAAGCCTATACCACAAGGGACCCACCCTCCAGAAGATAATTCCATTTTGGGGGAGAGGCCTCTCTCCTATTTGTTAAATATATGAATAATACATCTTTAACTAACGATGATGGACCCAGGCCCCAACCTAAGAGTAGAGACTATAGCCAAGTGGGTGTGGAATTTAGTCCCGAAAGACAGTGTAATAGTTAAGATATACTCTCTTTTGTATTAATTAATAGCACAATGGAAAGAATGCCTTTATTTTTTAAATTTCAAGGCCTGGGCAGCTTTTTGGCAGCTACAAAGGACAAAAGCCAATTTCTTCGTTGGTTGCCAGCTAACATTATAGCAGTTTCTTGACTAAAAACTCCTTGGCTGGCAGTTCCTGAAAGTAAATCTGAGACTATTGGGAGGGCCTTTAAAGAGAAGACACATATGCACAGAAACAATATACCAGTCCGACGGCACAGAAAAATCTTCAGATGTCAGTGTTGTCCAATCATAGCAATTAAAGAACAACGGCCTGAAGATATCTTTATTTAAACCAAAGAATATGGACTCAGAATTATTTTGATACAAAAATGAAAGACATAGGCATTAATTTATACTTTTCTGTAGATTTCTTAGAGATTTTCTAATTCCTATATTTCTTTTAAATGTTTTATTAGCCAAGAGGCAACTGATCGACGTATCTCTGGCACATATATGTTTCTCTCCCTTTCTTCCTCCCTTCCCCTCTCTCTGAAAATAAATAAATAAAATCTTCAAAATATTTTGTTAGCTTTTTAAATGATGAAAGTCAAGATAACTGCAAAAATACAAAATTCAAAGTCAGTAAGGGTATGAAACTCATCTCCCCTCCTCCAACACTTCCATCCCACCCTGTGGGGGGAGGTGGGGGCGGGTAACTGTGGTCAACAGTCAGTGTGCATCCTTCCAGATGTTTTTCTGTGAATCTACAAAAATCTATCTTGTTTCTTGGACATTATATCGTACTCTTAGAAGAATCATGTGATCAACATAAAAGCAAAAAGGTCTGGAAGCTGAAAATCAAAACTTTTCTAGATCTGACTGAGAGTTTCTGTTTCCAGTGGACTCACTAGGCTCAGTGCACCCAGTGGCAACGGGCTATTCTTTCGCGCTTAGTTAACGATGAACTGGGCTGAGCTCATAGGTGCCTGAAATTCTTACAGTAACAATTCCTTCCCTTTGGGTTAAATCCGTCTCTGAAAAATGCAAATAGATGAGGGTGAAGCGTCCTTAATTCCTCAGTCTGATCATCTAAAAGGGGAATGCTGCTTTCTTCTCGGAGAGATAAGAACCAAAACGGGGTGGGGTGGGTGCAAGTGGGGGAAGGGAGGCCCGCTTTCAGGTGCGCCTTGGGACAAGGTGACCAGCTAGCGGTGCAGGGGCCTTTCAAAGCTGGGAAACCTCTCCTTCCCGTCCCGCTGGGCTCACCTGAGGCCCCAGTATTGCGCCAACAGCAGCTCCGACTCACCGTTGAATGCAGTGCTCCGGCGAGCCCGCGCGGGGCGCTGGGTAGGAGGATGCGTCTGCAGTGGTCCCCAGAGTTCTGGCCGGTGGGTGTCGTTGGCGCTAAGCCCCGATTCAGCCCCAGGGAGCCGGCGTTATGTGTGTCAGAGGTCAGCCATTTAGGTTGCACCTAATTATACGCTCTGCCCCTTCGACCCCGGCACGAGTTCGAGGCCCAGTGTCTGGGCACCTTGCGTTTCCAGTTTCCCGTGGCACCCGTGGGACCTGGAAGAAATCTTTATGATACCGCAAGGAGAACTAAAACTTCCCCCTCACCCTGTCCTAGGCGGCTTAAAAACCTGAAGACAGGGTGGCTGTGGCAAATAGGGCACCGCCCTAGGCCTTGGGCTCTAGGGCTTCATTTGGGCACCTAAAAAGTGGGTGGGTAGAGCATTGGTCAAGCCCCGCTTTGGCCCTGGTTCCTCCTCCCACTTTCCACGGTGGAATCTCGGGTTTTTCCGGGGCGCACTAACCCAAGCCTTGAGGCAAGGCCGGCATCTGGTGTAGGTCCAGTCACAAACTGGTTCCACCCAGAAGAGGTGAATGGAACCCTCACGAGGCCATGTGCATAGGCCCCCAACATCAGACGTACGAGTGGGGCGCCTTGCAGCTGGAGGGATTTAGGTTAGACCGTAGATAGAATATAATTATTTTGAACTTCGAGCTGCCCCATTTTCCCGAAGGGTCTGCTTCTTGGGGTTGCCTTCCTCCAACTTAACCCTTTGCTTTCCAGGTGTGAGCCTGGGGCCCCGGAGGGTCCGGAGAAGGCAGGTGGAGCACAAGCCGGGTGAGTCCTGGACAAGGACTAGCCGAGCCGTAGGAGACAGGCATTTTCCAAACTTGGGGAACAGGGAGGCAGGCGGTGCCGGGAGGTGACGCGAGGGGCGGTGCCGGGCCCAATTGGCTAGTCGTGCGGGGGCGGGGGCGAGGCCGAGCTCCAGCGCCCGGGGTGGTGACGGCTCCGGGAGCTGGAACCCGGAGTGAGGCGCAGCGGCTGCGGCGGCAACAAGTGCCGGAGCCGATAGGAGCCGGAGCTGTCTCCGCCGCCGACACCACCGGGCTGCCAGTCGCGGGCGCAACGCATGGAGTTTGAGCGGCTGCGGTCGCCAGGCTGAGCCGCGCCGAGCGGCTGGGACGTGGATGTGGCCGCGATATCCCGCCCCCGCCCCGCTGAGCAGGAGCTGCTCCCGGACAAGGTAGGGCTGGGTGGGTTGTGCACCCCTGCCGCCTTCCCCTCCACTTTCTCCTACCCTGCCACTTCCCCAGGCCAGCTCTGCTCCCGCCACCTATTTGCTCCCTGCGCCCCCTCCGTTGGCCTCCCTCTTCTCCACCCCCAACCACGTTCTTCCTCGGCTCCGGTTTCCTACCCGTACCCGGGTCCCAGCAGAGGAAACCGTCTCCAAGTGGCTCCTGCCGCATTTGGCGTCCCCTGCCCTGGCCCCCGCGCCACTGCTCCTACCTTGGAGGAGGAGAATAACAAAACCCCGCCGTAGCGTTTGTTTGGAGCCTCTTGTCCCATTCTGTCCCCGCCCCGCTGCACCCCGACTTCCGGGGGAGCCTGCGTCGGGGTGCTGGCCGGCAGTGCGAGCGGCGTGTGGGCCTTTTCTGGGTCGCTCTGGTATTTCGGGGAGGGAGCGCTGCGCGGATGGCGCTCACACCCCCGCGCCCCGCACGCACCGCGCTGGTCTCCCGCGCTGCACGGGAAGATCAGGTGTTTTGTGCGCCAAAGAGCCCCCACGGCTTCTCCCCACCTCCAACTGCCTACCACTGTCACCTCCGGGTCCCCCAAAACTGGTTTCTTCGAAACTTAGGGGGAACCTTTCGCTTTGACCTTTAAAAAAAATATTCCACAGTGCCCGTGTTGATGATTAACCGGGTTGAAACCTGGGGAGGAGGGAGGGTGGGTGCTGCAGGGAGTGCGTCCTACCAGCTTCTGCGAAACACCTTACGGGTGGGGTGGGCACTGGGGCGCAGGCTGGGCACCCCGAGGGGGCTGCGGGCGCACGGGTCCTGGCGGCTGCACGGAGATGGCAGGTGGTCCCTTCTGGAGGCAGTAAAACCGAGTTACCTTAAGTTCCAGGCCACGGTATTTTACACTCAGGGCTCGGCATCTGCACTACTCACGGACCCCCCGCCCCCACAGGTGTCCCAGCGTGAAAAGTCGTTTGTGAAGATTTATGTACATTTTAAACGCGGGTTTCTGAGGAGGCTCGCTCTTTTCCGAAATGTGGGGGTGGTATGTCTGTCATTGCTCCGCTGCGCCTCGGGGCCTCCTGAACCTCCGCATCTTCGTAGAAAGATAGTTCAGAACAGTTGTGCCCTATTCTGCTGCCCCTCCCTTGTTGGAAGCTTGCTGTAAATTTCAGATTGCGAAGCTAGTTGATGAATATGGGCTTCTACTTGTTATAACATTTTTTTCCAGTGTAATCGTGCCTTTGGATAGTTAACGATGTGCCCGAATGGGCCAGGACTGGGACTAGAAAGGCGGGACCGAGGTGGTCCCAGTCCAATGGCTCTCCAGCAGTCTCGTGGTCGCGCTCCTGTCGATCTTGACAAGCTGATTCCTAGGCTGGGCGGTCACTTCCCACTGTCCCAGTTCTCACTTCTGTTTCTTTTGAATAGAGGTTATTAGGCCTGGTGGATTTTGGGAGAGTGTTACGCGGAGCGTCTGTACTCTTAAATTAGATTTTAAGACCAGTTTTGAGTAAATGTTTCCCTGCTCCTCAGCCTTTACAAATGTCTTTATCTTTAGCTCTTCTTTTTTGAAATTACTTTCTCAGATTGGAGTACTGGTTTTTTCCCTTGGGAATCTCCATACCGTAGGGGCTCACTGCTCTTCATTTGGTTTTTTGTGCAAATGGTATGGCGAAAGGTCTGATTCTTCGTGAAAGTGCAAAGTTTCCATCCTCACTGTTCGCTAGTCTTGATTCTGCCACATACTAGTGTTCAGTGCGACCTTGGGCAAGTTTAGCATTCCAGCCTCCTTGGACATATTTGGTTTGGGGGATGGTAATGTCTGCGCCACCAGCTTGTTTTTGAGGACAAATAGGATAATGTTTGCCAAACTCCTAACTTTGCATCATGGCACTTAAGAAGTGCTTAATTGGTGGTAGACATTGGGAACTCAGTATACAGTCGAGGTTGCTCCCTGCATCAACTTACCCTTAGGCAAAACACAGGAACCGACGTGGAAATGGTTTAGATTTGCCTGAGGCTGGAACCAGCCAGACAGTTTATCCAAGGAGTAAGGTAGTTTTTTTGAGGAAAATAAACATAATATGATTGCAAAATTTATGAATTGACTTTTTTCTGGGTTTTGTTGGAGAGCTAGGTACACAGATGACTCGTGGTTTTGAAGATTTCCTTGTTTATACAAAAAACAAAAAACAAAAACCCAACCATTGAGATTTCTCTAATTCTAGGATACTAAACTTGGCTACAAAATAGGAAAGTGGAACTGATAATTCACGGTTGGTTTTTCCCTGTACAGTTTGTTTAAGTAGGTGACTTTTTAAAATAAGAGAGTTTATTTAGGAAGTGAATGAGAATCCAAAAAATTATTAATTCCTTTGCTTTACATGATGCATTGTAAGAAATATAAGTCGGATTTTTTCAGCTGATTCAGGGATATGAGAAAAAGTGGTGAATCTTCTGTTTCTCAAAGAAACTTTGAAACGTTAAGTTTTAATTTCTAATGTTTGTTAAAAAGAAAAAGGAAAAACAAGACCGCGATTTAGGGGTGCTGACCCAGAGCTGCGAAAGTGCCTGAAGTACACTCTGTTCTTAACGTACCGGATCAGTGCTTTTAATTCTTTCTAATTTGCTTAATAGCTACGATATTTGACTCTTAAGTTTTTCGACAGTTTTATTAGATAGTTTGTTAATGACTAAAAGTAAATGCAGATGGCTACTTTTATAAACATTGAGATTCTTGCATCTGGGATAATATTTGGTTATGTAATCTATTGCAGCACATCAATGGTGGTGTATAAATGATCAAAACTGAAAATTTTTTGTGAAAGGCCTTTTGATCTTATATATGCAGATGCCTGGGGGAAACAAATTCTTTTTGTTAATTGCCTGGCATTTCTACAGAAGTTTAAATATGAATTAAACTGGACTCTGACAGTGTGAAAACTGGGTTTCCTTGCTTGCATAATCGAAAGCACCTTGTAAAGACCACAGCGCATACACCCAACAGGTGTGGATCCAGCTGCCTTTTCCCTAACCCCAAAGGTGGGATAACTGTTACTAGGTACTTGCCAAATACATCTCACATTGTAGGATGAATAAATTCCTCTCTCTGGAGAGGCAATTACTGTTTGAGTAAGAGGTGTGTATATGCGTGAGATAAAGCTTTGAGGGAATTGATGTAATGATTTCATCATCAAAAGCTGGTGATGAGGCTTTGCTAGTCTGAACAAGGCTTCTGTGAGAAGAACTTGTTACTTGATGAATTTGTTATGGAGACATATGTGGCACAATTACTTTAGTGCTGGAAAAGAGCTATTTTATGAGTCTTGTTATAACTCTGGGTTGAGATTTTGGACTGACACTTGCTCATACTGTGAGTTTTATGCTCTTTGCCCATCAAACTTTGTCTTCTTGCCTTGCCTTAATTATTGTAACAAAGCTCAAATATCTTTTGAGAATTGGCATTGTTGATAAAGTTGTAACATCTTCTTGCCTTGTCTTAATTATTGTAACAAAGCTCAAATATCTTTTGAGAATTGGCATTGTTGATAAAGTTGTAACATCTGTTGTGAAATATTTGGTATAATTTTAGGTTTAGGTGTTAACATGGATAGCTCTGAGAATTTTGTTACGAATTGTTTGTGCATGTGAACAAGCTCTTGGAGCAGGGTTTAAAATTGTTTTTATTCTGATGTGGCTACACAGGGGAAATTCCCAGTAGCCAGGAAATCGATACTTTCTACTTTTCATTCTGTGGCATTTAAAAATAGATTTTTTATTCTGATTTCTTCACTCTGGTAAGGTTAGGCTGTATGTTGCTTAATCAAAATATTTTAAAAAACTGATTACCCAAGAAAATTAATTCTAGATTGTGGCCACATTCTGTCAGAGTGGCTGTGTGGTGATTAGTGGTAAAGAGCATGAATTTGGAGTCAATCAAATGAGGATTTTTGTTTAATTTCAGGTATAGCATACAGTAAAGTGTGTGAAGTGCACTAATATTACGTGTGCAGCTCATGAATATGTATCCATCTCCCATCAAGAAGTAAATGTTTTTAGTAGCCCAAAGGTGCCTGTGCCCCTGTCTGGTCAGTATTTTCCCACAAAGGAAATTGATATTCTGACTTATATAATCTTACATGTGACTCATATCATCATAGATTGGTTTTGCCTGTTTCTGAACTTCATGTAAGTGGGATTACGGAATCATACAGAGTGTAGTCTTTTGTGAAACAGAACTGGATCTTAGTTCCTTTTTGCAACTTACTGTGTGACTGTAGTTACTCTGTGAATAAGTTACTTAACCTTTTTGAGCCTCAATTTCTCAATTATAAAAAGGGACAGTTAAAGTCCTACCTTAGATCTGCTAAGAAAATTAGCATGATGCAACGTCTAAAATCCCGAGCCTTGTGGCTGACATGCAGTTTCCTCGTTCCCCTTTTATTTCTTTAAAAAGGTGATAACAGAAGCTCCTCTATGTATTTCGATATGCTATTTTAGGATAAAGTTATACAGGCATCCTATTGAAACTTAGAAGCCAAATCTTGATTTGACACTTTGTTGATATAGCATTTAGCTTAAATAAAACATTATTTGTTGATAGTTGATCCCCTATTATTTTTAATGGACATTTTCTTTGTAAGTTGAGATGACAGTCATTAACATGTCCCATTCAGAGCTGATTGGTCACCTGTGTGATATGATCTAGTGTGCAGAAGGGTACAGTGATGACAGGTAGTTTACACTCTATTGTAAGGCCCATGGAAGACTTTCGTTTTGATAAGAGGCATCAGTAAGTGCCTAGGATGTGCAGAACATCATTTACTGCTTATGTTTTGTGAAATAATTATTTCAGAAGTGAAAGCACAGGTCCAATTGTTGCATGCTTTAGACAAGCAACTAAACATTTAAAATGTTTTATACTTTTATAATCTTAATCTAAAATGGAAAAAAATAAAATAAAATAAAATAAAATGGTATATATTCAGTGCTCTCATGTCCC